CCCTCTGATACTAAGGGATGATTATGTTTGTACAATCTGAAGTGGACTAGAGGAGCATGGGGACTTCTATGTAGGGCTGATTGAGATTTTAATTGCATTTTTAAACATATATTTACCATTTAAATTTCACAGAATAGTTACAGGTTCATATAATCCCAAATTAAACTGTCACTTTTATAAGTTTTTAAATGGTTTTCTGCTTATCCTGATAATTTCATAGTATGACTATCTCAAGGTACCCCTACAACCCATTTGTGGCCAATCAGCTAGGAAGTTTGTAGGGGTGTGTGTGTGTGTGTGTGTGTGTGTGTGTTGTTTTGTGTTTTTGGTACCAGAGATTGAATTCAGGGGTGCTTAATTACTGAGCACATGAGCACATCCCCGACCCTTTTTTTGTTTGTTTGTTTATTTTATTTAAGACAGGGTCTTGCTAACTTATTAGGGTCTCACTAAGTTGCTGAGGCTGGCCTCCAACTTGCAATCTTTCTGCCTTAGCATCCTGAGAAACTGGGATTACAGGCAGGCACCCAATGCCTGGCTTGGTTGGGAAGTTTTGAAGTCAGGTGCTGAGTTTGATGGGACCTGAAATTCATACTCAAGTACCTCCATGTTTACTGTGTGATAGTTACTTGATGGTTTGACATTACAGCTACACAATTAAATTCTCCTGTATAAGAAAATTTGTCAATTATTTAGAAGTCACAGTTTCTAGGGTGAGTTTGTAGATCGGCCTCCCCAGGCATAAGTCAAATTCCTGTAGTCTGAGGAAGAGTCTGCGATGTGGGGTATCAGCGTGAAGAAAGGCCCTTATATTATGAAGGAAAAAAAAGTCGTTGTGTTAAGACCTTGGAAGTGTGGGGGAGGATGATATATGCATTTACTCAACAAACATTTTCTCAGTGTCTCCTTATACCAGGCAAGCCTTTGAATCCTGAGAGCATAGGGCCCTGCTCTCCCAGATTCAATGGTGGGGATAGGAAGAGAGATGGGAACCAGAAATTAAGCAAGTGATTTCATTTGTACTATATCCAGGCCATGGATTGATAACCCAGGTGGTATGGTAGGGAGTGGTGAGTCCTTGTGGGGGAGGAAAGAGTTGAGATTAGCAATCATAAAATCCCTCTTCCAAGAAGAGAGAGCACCATGTTAAGATTCCCAGATCAGATTGGGTGCCATGGTTCATGCCTGTAATCCTAGCAACTCTTTAAGGCTGATGCCGAAGGATTGCAAGTTCAAATCCAGCCTCAACAACTTAGCAAGGCCCTAAGCAACTTAGTGAGACCCTGTCTCAAAATATATATGTATGTATGTATGTGTATATAATATATATATAAATGGACTGGCAATGTGGCTCAGTGGTTAAGCACCCTTGAGTTTAATCCCTGGTAACTCCCTCCCCACCAAAAAGAAGAGATTCCCAGATCAGAAAATTCTGGGGCTGGGGATGTGGCTCAAGCGGTAGCGCGCTCGCCTGACACGCGTGCGGCCCGGGTTCGATCCTCAGCACCACATACCAACAAAGATGTTATGTCCGCCGAGAACTAAAAAATAAATATTAAAAAAAAATTATCTCTCTCTCTCTCTCTCCTCTCTCACTCTCTTTAAAAAAAAAAAAAGAAAAAAGAAAATTCTGGACCTCTGATATCCAGGGTAGTAGCCACTAGCCACATGAAGCCATTGATTACTGAGGATGTGGCCATTATAGAAAGAATGTCAAATATTGCATTAATAATTTTTATGTTGGTGACATTCTAAAATGGTAATACTATAAACAGATTAGATAAAATATATTAGTAAAATTAATTTCACCTGTTTCTGTTTACACTTCTTTAGCATGCCTACTAGAAAATGTAAATTACATACATGGTTTCCATTATATTTCTTTTGAACAATATGGCTCTAGACTGATGAGTGTGAGGACCTTTGGGCTATGTGGTTGGGGTGGACTGTTAGAGGAACTGAAGGAAGAATATGTATGGAGGGAGAAGTGGGTAGTGGGAATGAGGAAGGAAGGTGGGCAAGGCAGCCTGCAGAGTCTGAGAGGTTGCAGCTAGGGGTGTGTGGGCTCTCTGGTTTTAAACAAAGGAACAAATGAGGGTGATGGAGACAGTTTGACTCTTTAGGCAGATTTATATTAATTTCAGTTTGGCGGATTTTCCAAAATTGTTCCCAAATCCCATACTTCAGTTTTACCTGTCCTTCCTACATATACACTTACCAGTGTGAAATTGTGTCTTGAGCATGCTTTGGTTCATTTTATTAATTTGAACCATTTCTTTCCTAGGATTTGAAGCCTAGCAACATTGTAGTAAAATCAGATTGCACCCTTAAGATCCTTGACTTTGGCTTGGCCCGTACAGCATGCACCAACTTTATGATGACCCCCTACGTGGTAACTCGGTATTATCGGGCCCCTGAAGTTATCCTGGGCATGGGCTACAAAGAGAATGGTGAGTACAGACAGAACTGGAAGAGCCTGTGATATTTTAAAATAGCACTAGTGGTCATCACTAGCTCTGTTTCCTTTAATGTATGAAATATAATGTAGAGAGACTGTGTTACAAATAGATTTTCATAATCCAAAGATAAGAAATTATTAATCTTTTATTTCCATTGGTTAAAATCATTGACTTTTAAAAATTCACCTTTGAAATTAGTATTTTTGAATTATTTTTAATCAACATGTAACACACTTATAGAAAAGTATACACATCCTGAGTGTGCAACTTACTATGAGCACACCAACATAATAGCAGGGGCCTTTCAGTGTTCCCTCTCTGGGTTTCAATCCATAGCATGGTCATTATCCTGATTATAAGCACCATAGATTATTTTTTTTTAAACTCGATATAAATGTAATAATGCAACATGTACATCTAATTTGCATAAATTGATATTTTTTGACATTAAAACTTTACTTATTCTAGTAATATTAAAGTTATTTGAAACAGCTTTTAACAAATTTATTGAAAAGAACTATATCACTTTTACTTGTAAAAAAGAAAAAAGAGTAACATTTGCTCTTCTGAAATGAGTTTGTGAGTTTACTTCAATGCTTTGATGTTTTCAATGCTTTTATTTCCTGCTGTGAACACAGTTTCATATGCTTCCTGGGGAATGGAGAGAAAATCAGATTCCCTTTTCACTTCTCCCCATGTGTACCCACCAGCAGGGACATTTAGATAGTTTGCCTATAGTGTCTAAGGCATGGGATTCAACTAGGTCCCACATGAGGGTGAATGCCATAGAAGTTGGGGCACTTAGCAGGCCCTGTCCAGAGCCCAGTCCAGCAAGCCCAACCTTGTGCAGTCCATTCCCCACAGAATACTACTGCCTTTCTGATATGTCAGTTTAGTTTCAGAAGGTATGGTTTCAGTATTTTACCAAAGGTTCCACTGATGAGCTGGTAAAGTTTACTGGGTCTTTTCTTGTTTGGGAGGGGGTTTAGAGAATAGAGATATGGGGCTCTCTAGCTGGTTTTTAATCACCTGGTGTTTGGTAGTGGACATCTGGTCTGTCGGGTGCATCATGGCAGAAATGGTCCTCCATAAAGTCCTGTTCCCAGGAAGAGACTGTATCCTTCTCAAGGAGAGACCCAGCATTTGGCCATGGAGGCTAGAGGTGGGGTGGGTATGTGACCCTGAAAAACCTTTGTGTTCATAGGCACTTCTTGTTTCTGGTTTTTTCTTTTTTTTTTGTTTTGTTTTTTAAACTGTAAAGTACTGGAATCTTTGGCACTAAAATCCCAGATTGCTGCAAACTGAAGGCTAAAATAGATGTCAGCAATCATTCATATTGTGTAAAAAGTTCACCCTGAGCTAGCAATTTATTTTTCCATATTTGTGTGTTTAGTACTGCTAGAATTCCTTTTCTTCACCTTTGTTTTGTTCATGGCACTTCATAATTTTATCATTTCATTTTATTTTCAGTTGATATCTGGTCAGTGGGTTGCATCATGGGAGAGCTGGTGAAAGGTTGTGTGATATTCCAAGGCACTGACCGTATCCTTCCCCAGGACCTTGACCCTGGCCATGCTTTCCATATCAAGGGCAGCATGATTGCACCTATTATATGAACGCTCAGAAGGAAAATGCCGTAATTTCACATTGTATTCTAAGGGGGTCTTTGTTTTGTTTGTTAAATTAGTGTCACACCAAGTGGTTCACATTAACATTTTCTTTTTTACTTAACTACCTGTGATGATTTTGTTGAGACTCAGAGTTAAATTAAACCAATTAAATTAGCTCTTAATTTTATCAAAAATAGCTAGACATGTAAATTATTCACTATTTAATAAGTGTATTTTGATATTTAAATGCAAATATTTTATAATTTAGTTTATTCCATTAATTTAAGTAGGAAAGGTGCCATCTAAATTTAATAGGCTAATATGCTTGTGTGATTTAATTAATATACTATTTTGTTAGTTATTGGTATACATTAAAATATTTTCTCCCCAAAATTAGAATGGAAGCATATTATGTGAGGCCTAAGTGGAAAACTTTAAAATAAAAATTTTATGAAGAACAATATTATTAAATTTCCTTGTTAATTACTCTGATGATATTTTATAGAAGTTTTTTTTTAATCTATCTAGAGGGCTATTTTGTGTACTGGGGAAGGTAAATATAAAAGTACAAAAGATTAACCTATACTATGGTCAACAATTCATATTAATGATATAGTATAAAGGAGACTAGATAATAGTTATAATAGCTTTCTTTCTTCATACATTCTTCATCTTTAATATTTTTACCCTAACATAGTTGTTCACATGTACCCTCTTTCATTTGTGTTCTAACCTTTCAATATTTTCATTAGTCTTTGATTTTTGTCTTTTGTTATGAAAGCTTAAAAGTTGTCTCTTTCTAGTAGCAGATGAATGGTTGCTTTTAAAGGAAATCAAGCTCTCTAGTCAGGGTTTTGTATGTATTTCACAAAAATAATTTTAGTTTTTTATAATTTAATGGAATCAGTTTTCTTATAAAATACAACACAACTTAAAATGAAACAAACTTTATTCCTATGATTTCTTTCCTTTATATTTTCCCCATCATAGATTACATAATATGTGAAGTTAAATATAGCATTGTATTTTGTTCTAATACATTTTCTTGAGTTTTCCATTACCTCAGATTCACTTGTTTCAAACTACAAATAAGGAAGCCTCTTTATTTTTGCAAATAAACACAATTAAAAAGAGAAAAGTTGAGGCATACTAAAGATAAATAATTTGGAAGTATCTACTTAACATTCAGCGTGTCCCAATTTTTATTCATTTTGTGTCTTTTCTCATTTTATTAAGAAATATCTTCCCCAAAAGATTCAAAAGTGAAAAATGTTGTTACTTTTTAGTTCATCTTAATAATTTAAAATTTCTACTTTATACATTAATATGTCACAACATCAGTAATTAATGGATTTATTATTATGGAGATTGTCTAATGTTATTTAAACTCACATAGAGACTAACATCATTTTCTAAAGTTTCACCAGTTTTTTCAAATATTAGATTGAAATTTTGTGAGATAGAAGAAGGTTCCAATAGCCAGACTGAGGTTTTTCATAGATTTCCTTTAGATTTGTGAACTGAAGTTGAAAAGGAGCTTCTGTCCTCACTGTAGCCTATAAGAAAGAAAAAGATTTACCCGGGCCATAAGGTTCAAGTTGAGACTCCTCCACATGGTATCTGTGCATCTTTGAGAAATTCGGGGCCCCTCTGGACCTTGGTTTCCCCTTATGTTAAATGAGAGACTGTGTTCTGCCCCTCAGAATCACAAGAGTTCAATGACAAGAGTCTGCACATGCCCAAAAGGTCCTCTAGGTTTGCCAGGGTTCTTTCCCCTTTCTTCCTTCCTAGTATATAGAGTCTATAAAAACTACTCTGTATCATTGACCCAGCAGATATTTATTGAGTGCCCACCCATTTCTAGATTCTTAATCTAACTTTGGTTTTAAAATGCTCACTCCAGCAGCTGAGTTGAGGGTAGAATGCTACAGAGGCAGTTAGTTTTCCAGTGGGAGATGGCAGATGCTCATGCCAGGCTGGTAGAAATGCAGGCAGGGAGAAAGTCTACTCCTCTTGTGGGCAATTGGAGGTATTTAGTAGTAGAAATACAGAGTGTGGAATTCAGGGGGATAGATCTGGTATAGAGAAATAAATGTGAGAGTTTTCATTGTATCAATAGCATTGAAGTCTTGAGACAGGTAGTGAGTGCTTGAAGAAAGAGAAAAGGACAAAGGACTAAGATAAGGACTGAGAGTTGACCCTTTGATTTAGTGATAGCCACTGGCAACCTTGATGGGCACAATTTTCACAGATATGTGGGAGAAACTCTGAAGAGAATATGTTCAAGAGATAATGAAAGTCTGAGAATTAGACAAACAAGTATAGTATATAACTCTTTAAAGGAGTTTTGCTACAAATAGAAGTAAATAAATGCAGTAATAGCTAGAAAATGGTTATTGTGATAACACTGGAGAAAAAAGCCTCATGTTTGTTGATGGAATTCTCCATTTGAGAACAAAATGTTGATATAGGAGTAAGAAATAAGAATTGATAGGTGCTCGTACTGAATAGACAACAGAGTATAGCCAGCTGAAGTGGGTTGGGGTGGCTTTAGCCAGGAGCTCAGACAGTTCTCAGTGGTGAATGGTAAGCAGATGCTAGGATAGGGACATCATAGGAAGGGCCATCTTGTGATTGGTTCCATTTTCACAGCAAGAAGTGAGCATGGGGAAGAGCTGTTGAAAGTATAAGGGAGAGGTGTTTTCACAGTATAGATTAATAAAATGTACCATAATTCTGATTTGGCAAATAAGAGAAGTGAAGGAAAAGGTACTAGTGGTTTGAATCTCCAAAACCTATTTCCCAAGCAGTCTTCTGAAGCATAAAATTTGGGAAGGGCTGAGTTCATGTGTCTGGTACCTAGGTGATTTCTAAGACATGCTTCAGTGAGTCACTTTTTTGAGCTGCTATTTGCATGGCTTTTTTTTTTTTTTCTGGCTTGCGTTGTCTTGTGTGACTGTTTACTGTTTCAGTATCACTTTCCACACACATTATCACAATTATCCCAAGCCTAACAAGCACCCTATGTACTAGGCAAAGCTGGTATTGCCTGCATTATGCATGTAAGGAAGTTGCTGCAAGGAATATGGACTTCCTGACACTTTATGAGTGGTTAACGCACATCTGAGTCTGAAACCTAGGTCATGCACTCTGAAAGGAAATAAAATTCATTTCCAGATATTGCAGGGAAGGTGGGAATGAGTCAATGCTAAGTAAAACAGGATGATATCTGAAAGTAGTCATTGTTCAGTCTAAGGTCAGTTTCAGGAAGGAATTTGGTCCCATAGGAAAGGACCAGGCCAAAGGTACACAAAGGCCATAGCCCTGGTTTCTGCCCCTCCCTCACCATGCCACCCCAGGCCAGGCTGTCCCACAGGGCTTTGGTTGCCCAGCTATAAACTAAGGAGGTTAGATAGATCTATGAAGCCTTCCTTTTGAAGGCTGTAAATCTAAGGTAGGTTTAGTATGAAAATTGATTTCAATTTCCTTATGTATCTAATTTCATGTTAATAATTTCTATCAGAATTTTATTTTGAACTATAATGGGGATGCATGTAAATTTTATTGTGTTGATTTAATAAACTGATTATAGTTTATAAGAATACAAAGTATAAGAGTTTTAAAAAATAGTCTAATTTGGAAAACCAAACCTTATTTGAATGTTATTTCAAAATGTTTCCACTGACCCAGTGGGGTAGCCTAATTACTTACCTGTCCAAAGGTGTAAATATAGTTTTCTTTCAAATGATGCTACTACATTGCAATATAAATATAAGGCATTTCAGTTGTATTTTCCTCAAGAGATCCTTAGATATTGATCAATGGAATAAAGTTATCGAGCAGCTAGGAACACCATCAGCAGAGTTCATGAAGAAACTTCAGCCAACTGTGAGGAATTATGTAGAAAACAGACCAAAGTATCCTGGAATCAAATTTGAGGAACTTTTTCCAGATTGGATATTCCCATCAGAATCTGAACGAGACAAAATTAAAAGTAAGATATCCTTTTATTCTTATACTTGTTTTCATAATCCAGGTGGCACTTTCACTTTTTCATGTTCGTATTCTAAAACCTGAGAACATGAGGAGATAAAATAGTTGAAGCCCTGAAATAAAGATACTTAACAGGCTGGAAGTCTAATGTATAAAGGCATTGCAGAGAAAAATTTTAAAAGTTTTGTCCTCAATAAAACCACTTAACTGAAACCTTCAGCCAAAATTAAAATATTCAAACCAGTCTAAAAGACTCTTATAATTTTAGTAATTATAATTCAAGAAGTTTTCAGTTATAAAAAAACACTTGAAGGGCTGGGGTTGTGGCTCAGCAGTAGAGCGCTCACCTAGCATGTACGAGGTGCTGGGTTCGATCCTCAGCACCACATAAAAATAAATAAATAAAATTAAGGTATTGTGTCCAACTACAACTTTAAAAATTTTTTTAATTAAAAAAAACTCTTGAATAAAAATTCTGAATCAGGAACCATATGATAGTAGTTCAGTAAAAGAGATTCTCTTCACCCTTCTTCTAAGCCCTTTATTAAAATGTGATTGATGGAAAAAATTCATTTTCTTCCATAGCAAGATAAGCTGTGACTTAACTGAAAAGCCCCAGTCTTTCCTTTGCCTAGGCAAGTCTTATATTTAACTAAGTTGTTAAACCTGTTGTTTTTTCCCTAACTACTAATCTCTAAATTAAAAAAAAAAAATGTGGCTGGGCATGGTGGCACACATCTATAATTCCAACAGCTCAGGAGGCTGAGATAGGAGGATTGTGAGTGCAAAGCCAGCTTCAGCAAAATCAAGGCACTAAGTGACTCAGTGGGATCCTGTCTCTAAATAAAATACAAAATAGGACTGGGGATGTAATTCAGTGGTCAAATGCCTCTGACTTCAATCCCCATTACCTGCCCCCCCCAAAAAAATTATGTTGCCAACATTGTATACAGCTAGGTAGAGGCATCTGTGAAGTGTGTCATCCTGTGGTAACGTGAGATTATTGTGTGGTTTTAAAAGTTTGTTCTGATTTCATTTTAATGTGACTTGAAGAAAAAATACTCCCCTCATTTCATGCCCCCACTCTTGGTGCCACCGGGAGCTCAGCCCTTGCCACCTCCCTATCTGTAGTTTCTCAGATTGAGGTCCTGTGTGGATACTGGATTAAGTAAGGCTGGCTAGAACCTTTACCCCACACACCAGTGCCCATGTTTTTCTTCCTCCTCTCTCAGATCCAGAGACAAAAAAAAATTTTTGAAAACCTTTGCTTGAAAGTTTGATCTTTTCTAAAAGTTTTGGGCTCTATTGATCTTGATCCTATCAAACATTTCTCCAAGTTAATATATCTTTGTTCTAATTGTGCTATCACATTTAGTTTTTATCATGTGATTTTCTGTTTCACATTAACAACATCAGGGTGTTAATCTAGTGTTTGTTTTCATCCTAGCGAGTCAAGCCAGAGATCTGTTATCAAAAATGTTAGTGATCGATCCTGACAAGCGGATCTCTGTAGATGAAGCCCTACGTCATCCATATATTACCGTTTGGTATGATCCCACTGAAGCAGAAGCAGTAAGTATCTATTTGAAAAAGGATACATATGTAAAGGCAGGGGTTGCTTTCCATGTGTCTTCTGTTAGTGCAGAAGGGCTACACAAGGATAGCAAGTTCCAGATTTTAGGAATCCTAATTACAAAGAAGACCAAGGTGCTGGGTTCACTATGCACTGGTGGCACTTGCTTTTGGGGCAGTACTTCAGGAATGAACATGCTTGTGTTGTGATGATACAGTTGTCATCATTTATGTAACTGCTGATGTGTAATAATAATTTATTAAGCATCTCTTATGTTACTGACACTGTGCTTTGGCTAATCTTTTAATTTAGGCCTCTCAGAGAGGCCAACCAACTTGCTGGAAGTCATACATTTGTTTATCCTTCTTCAAAGACATGAGACCTCTCCTATTCCCCTACTAAGGGAGTTCCCCTCTGAATTTGGTGCTCACGTGCATTTTCCCATAGCAATTCTGGTATGAATGATCTTTAGTTGTGAGTGAAATAACGACACAGTGACATGTTTACTTTATAACATCGGTGGAACACATTTTTATGACTTGGCTATGGATTTAACTACCATTTTAAGCATTGTTTTATAACAAAAGAAATTAGATTTATAAGCAGCCTTTTGGAACTGTCCATTTATGTGTTGGGAATTAGACTGTGGAGTCCTTACATGAAGAAATCTAAATGTGAAGTATATTCTAAGAAAGAACTGCAAATTGCATAGCTCTCAGCTCAGCACTTGTCCATGGAGGAGTCTCAAGGAAGTAGCCTGTGACTACTAATTTTGTAATTACATTTGGACAGATGTTTTTATAGTATCTTGAGGTCATGAATAAGAAGATTATTATTAATAGCTCTCTTTTTGGTTAATTTTTCCTTAATTATTTTGATTGTGCAAATTACATAATATCACACAGCAAAAATTTTTAATAAAATATGTTAATGAACTAAATCCACATGATAAGACTAGAATAGTCTAAGTAGTGTTACCTTTTTTTCATGTCTCATTATTCTTTGAACTCTGTTGACTTTACATGTTTTTTAATTTTCAGCCACCACCTCAAATTTATGATGCACAGTTGGAAGAAAGAGAACATGCGATTGAAGAGTGGAAAGGTAAAGGCAGCTTATTTTGATTGTTATTTAGACATTTCTTATGATGTTATTATTTATAACAAAGTAGAGGCTTTTTACATTTTGTAATAGTCCTTCAGAAAGGGGCAAGAGAACCTGCAGCTCCCTTATCCTTTTTCCTCTAACTTTCTGTAGAAAAGAAACAGCATTAGAGAGAAACATGTATGAATCCATACTATTTGCTTCCAGAATAAAATATGTGGGCTTTTCCACATGATTTTACATTATGAAATATTGATTTGAAAACTGAATTAGTAATTGTATCACATTTATCTGGAACATATTGCAAATTGTCATGTTACCCCTATTCACAGGCCATGTACTACCTACAATGTTCCTTTGCTAAGCAGACATGGGGAAAGCCAGGGCTGAGAGTTATTCGAACTTCTGCATTTTTCTTTTTGAGTACCAGGGATTGAACTCAGGGGCACTTGACCCCTGAGCCACATCCCCAACCCTATTTTGTATTTTATTTAGAGACAAGGTTCACTGAATCACTTTAGCGCCTGGCTGTTGCTGAGGCTGGCTTTGAACTCACAATCCTCCTGCTTCATCCTCCTGAGCCTCTGGGATTACAGGCACGTTCCAATGTGCCTGGCCTGCATATATTTTTTTTTAATATTTATTTTTCAGTTTTTGGTGGACACAACATCTTTATTTTATTTTTATGTGGTGCTGAGGATCAAACCCAGCTCCCCGCGCATGCCAGGCAAGCGCGTTACCGCTTGAGCCACATCCCCAGCCCCTCTGCATATATTTTTAAGCCATGCAGTTTTATATGTTTTAAAATCTAGTTTGGGTAAAATTGCTAATCAAAAATAAGCAAGTTGGGTATTTTTACAACCATAAGATTAACCAAATGACCCACAAAAAACTAAACCTGTGGGGCTGTGGTTGAGGCTCAGTGGTAGAGCACTTGCCTAGCATGTGTAAGACACTGGGTTCCATCTTCAGCATCACATAAAAATAAACAAATTAATTAAAGAGGTATTGTATCCATCTACAACCAAAAAAATCAGGGAAAAAACTCATAATGAAAAGGCTGAATTAGCAATACTTCATTCTAAAGCAAGATCAGTGGTAACTGAGGGCCAAGGTCAGTACGAGTCAATACTGGTGATGTGTTAGGTGGAACCATCATGGGATGTGGTGTGCCAGTTAATAGCATGTGTGGCAGTGCACACAGCCATAATCCTCAGTGTATGCCTGCAGTGTATTAATGTTACTTGATGAATACTAAAATTTTAGAAATATAATAATAATTTGCTTGTTAGCCAATTAGTTGTTCTTAACAATAAAAGTTGAAGACAAGACAGGACTTAGGTGTATGAATTAATTTTGGGAGCCCACATATGGATACTCTTTACATTTGGAGAACCACAAGTAACAGTGGATAGAAATACATTCAAATGGTTTTGAGATCATACATGTCTTTAAAATGTCTCTTTGAGCTATTCTTCATGCTTGCTCACTCACTCTCACCCTCTCACTCTTTCTGTAAAACTCCCAAATAGATTCAGAATAACCCTATGTTTTTGGCTGCCTTAATAGTTTCATTGAAAAGATAAGATAGAACAGGGGTTCGAGCAACAGCTCAGTAGTAGAGTGATTGCCTAGCATGTGCAATTGGATCTTATCCTGGATCTTATCCCTGGATCTTATCCTCAGCACTACAAAAAATTTCAGAAGGAAAAAGATGTTATAATATATCAAAACAAAAATGGATCCAGGTAGGCAATATTAATGAATTGACTATATATCACAATTTAAAATAACATAATACAGTGCTCTTAGAGTTATTCCAGTTGATTTGGAAGCAATGTTCAGAGATGCTAATAAACTGATGAAGCATTTTAACTTGCATTTCTGTTTGAAGAGCTAATTTACAAAGAAGTAATGGATTGGGAAGAAAGAAGCAAGAATGGTGTTGTAAAAGATCAGCCTTCAGGTTAGTGATCGCTTCAATCATGTGATCATATAATATTTCCATTGCCTATTCAACTTTTGCCAGTGGCAGCAGTGTGTTAAGTGACTGCTTGGCTATCATTAGATTTGAAAACCCCTTGTATAAAATGGTCCGGTCTCCCATTTTGGCTTGTCATGACAGTAGTGATGGTGACTGCAGCTATTTA